TTTTATGTGTGCGCTTTTACCTTTCATCTTTTTACTGTGTCTTGTTTTTTAAGTATATGTGGTGACAATATACTTTGGTATTATAGCAGCACCTTTTTTCCTTTAGCGCCACCTATAACACTTATACCATTTATTCTTTTATATTTGCACCAAACGTTGAAACTTTATAAGTGCAGTTTTCACGTGCCAAATTGAAAGTTTTGTAGACCAATCTATATGTGCTGTTGTGACACTTCACATATGCTTGTAATTTTCTTGCACAGTAAAAATAAAGAATTATTAAAAAAAATTAAAAGAAATAAAGTTGAGACTTCCTCGTGCTGTTATGCAGGGCCTGAAGACCGAAGACTATCAAACAGGATGGGTGTTGGCCTTCAAACAGAGGATGTTGGCCCTCAAACAGGCCTAGAGCTGGAGGGGGGCCCCCAATCTGGTGCTGTATTGTGGGCACTTGCATGTTCTTACCAGGCAGTACTCTATTCTTACCACTGATGGGGATAGGTTGAATGGGTTTTGGGGTCATCATCTGTGCAATGGTAATCTGAGCTAATATTTCATGTTGCCATGGGTCATCTGAATGGTTGTATTTGACTTATGGCTGTCTGTCTTATTATTCCTCTTTTTAATATTTTCCATTCCTCCTTTTACTTTTTCTTGCATAGTGCAGTGACATAGCATTGTAAAATGCCTCCGTGGAAATCTTCTAGGCAAATTCCACTTCTGTCTGTGAGCCCCCTTGGCTACTCGATGCCTATTTTGCTTCACCATGTCTTATAATTCTCGTAGCCTGGAATGTTAAATGCTTCATCACCAGGGCCGGCCCGAGGCATTGTGCTGCCTGGATCAAAGGATGAAATGCTGCCCCCACCCCCATCCCCAACAAAACCACACCAAGCAAAAAATTATTAGATCCATTATGTTATGCAGTGTGTGTAGTGAATGCAGTGTCTGTGTAGTGGATGCAGAGTGTGTATTGGTGGATTGCATGCAATGTGTGTAGTGAATGCATTGTGTGTATGTATAGTGGATGTAGTGTGTGTGTATTTTGTAATGGATACAGTGTGTGGACAGCAGATGCAGAGCGTGTGTCTTTATAGTGGATGCTGTCAGGGCTTACCTGAATGGGAGTCTGTAGCGAAGATATGTGCTCACCCTTGCAAGTAAACACAGGCCAAGGTGGTCAGGTAAGAATTCACCTGGCCTGTGAGTCGGTGCACGGGGGCTGTGCAGGATGATGCTCCAAGTAGCAGTGCAGATACGGACATAAACAGGAGAATCGTCGTTGGTAAGCAGGGAGAGGCAGTGTCTTGTACCTGGCTAATCAGTGATCAGCCACAGTTGAACCATGAGTGACAGGAGCAGTCTCAGATAATGTCCAGCCCCCAGTGCTGGATTCAAGGCAAGAGTAGACTTCTGGATATTTCCTGAGCTGTATGGTGGCTCAGGTGGGGTGACAGTGAGGGAGGGGATTGTTATTAAAAAAATACTTTTTTTCCCTGGTGGTCCAGTGTATTTGATCCCTGGAGGTCCAGTGGCTGTCTTTCCAATCTGCCCTGAGAGGCAGAGAGCCAGCACAGTTTGCAGCTCCGCTCACTGTCTGAGCTGCAGACTGTGTAGTGTCTCGGGATATCCAGAAGTCAGAGCATTGCCATGGTAACCCGTGGCAATGCTCTGATTGGCCAGAGATCGCGAGACACTGTACAGTCTGAAGCTCACACCTGGTGAAGCAAAAGGCTGTGCTGGCTCTCTGCCTCTCAGGACAGACTGGAGGGGCCTTGCACCCGGCATCATACCGGGCAAGTATCCTGGTGTTAGGTCCTCGTGAGAGACCGAGGACCTGACACAGTCTGCCTGGAGAGCTGCCGGCCCGGAAAAATGCTGCCCCTGTCAAAGTGCCGCCTGGAGCCGTGGCTCCGCGGGTTATGGTCGGGCCGGCCCTGTTCATCACTGTTTTAGACATGTTAATCTAGCATGACCAATTTTCTCCTTTTTTTGTTTGTTTCATAAACAAAACAAAAAATGCTCTCTCTCTCTTCTGTTAACCTTACATACAACATTACATATCCTCATAGAGAGGATGTCTTATCTATCTGAGCAAAAGCATGTTTCTAAAGTTCAGCCATATTTGTTTAGCATGTCTATAATATAAAATTGTGCTGAAATGTCGAAATGCCATATAACTGTGTCTCTCATATACCTTGTCTTACTTCCTCTGCCTGTTGTGCATTGTAAGCTTGCCTGTAATTTAATTGCACAACAAAAATAAAGAATTTAAATAAATAAATAAAGTAGGGTATTCTTTTTCTTGTAAATCTTTGGCATCGGGCAGAGCTTAAGCAAAGTTTAATTTAGTTTGGTATGCTAAGGTTATTTACCCACAACACATCAGTAAAAAAATTTCTATAGAAGGATAAACTGTACACATCATAGATGGAAGAGGACAAAATTGCAGCACCCAGATATTGAGAACTGGTACAAGGAAGAAAAAATAAATATATAAATAAATAAATAAAGGCATATGGCAAGGGAAGGTTTATCAGAGTGAGTTCATGGACCGCCTAGATGCATATATGTAAACCAATATACCGTTATGAAAGTACTTAAAGTTTCTGAATTATTTTCAAAATTATATTTTTAAACTCAAAATTTCACAGATCTGTCAGTTGCAATCGAATAGAACTGAACTCAGTTCATTCAATAGAACAATGAGGAAGATATCAATGCTGTTCCCTTACAAAACTAATATTATGATTTACAGACTAACAAAACAAGTTCAATTACAATGTAAAATGACTACAAACATTGAAAAACAATGTTTTGGAATCTAAAAGATTTTAAACCCAGAAACATATATTGAGATTATCCTCTGGAAACAAGAAGATGACCTCCATTTTACAAAAAATACCCAGTATAAAAAAATAAAAATAAAGGATATTTTAAATAAAGAAAAAATTCAATGAAAAGGAGACAGCAGAGATAAAAGACTATAGTCCCAACACAGAAAATGTTACATAAAAGGAAATAAAAGAAAAAAGAAGAAAAAGTAAGGCAAGAATAATAATAATACAGATCGAAAAAGAGTGCTAAGAAAACGAAAGATGTGTAACAGTTCATTGGAAAAAGAGGAAAATAACATTAAGACTAGCTGGGAAGAGGAAGAAAAACATACACCACTAGGAATCTACAGAATCAAAATAATTATAGAATTGTTGGTGGCAAAGAACTTAATATAAAAACAGATGATATATATATATATATCCAAAGTTTTACCATTTGGATTCACACTTGGACTTATATTTGAACTTTCTTTTGCTTTTTCTTTGTTTGTCCATATATATATAGCTTTTTATATATATTTTTTATTTTTATATATGTTATAAAACCAGCTTTTTTATAATTTCTGTCGCAACCTTTACCCCCCCTGTTTGACTCATCTCTTAGAGGGAGCCTTATGTTTTAAGGAGTGTCGCCTACTTTCATTTTTTGTATTTTTATATATATTGTTTAGTTAGGTATATTTGTGCTGATCCTTTTGCCTATCAAAGAACTTAATATGTTCAAAAACAAAAATAATTTTCCCTCATACACCATAAAGACACATATATTTGTGAGAGTTACATGCAAAAATATTATATATATATTTAAATTCAAATTTGAAAGATTGATTGGCATTTAATTTCACAAAATGAATTAATCACAGTTACACGTAAGTTAAACAGTAATGTTAAGAGAGAAAATTTAGGTATACCATCAAAGGATTTTTTCAGGCTTATGTTCAGTGCTATAAAATGTATTTCTGTAATTAAGATTCATTTTCTCTGTTTTTTTAGTTGTATTATTGATTGATTTAAGTTAATATTATTTCTGCATTATTTTTGTGAGTTTACCTATACAAACAAGATAAGATTATAACTCTATATACGAATAAGTAACATACGTCTATAAAGGTCAAAACAACACATTTTACCCTTGATGATTTAAAAAGAATTTATAATCGAAAAAATACAACATAACTTAAAAAAAATAGCTCCGGCTACAATATATCAGAGTCAAAGGACAACTCATGCTTTAATCTATCTGATGCTGATAAAATGAGTTGCATTGAGTTGGGTAAAAAAAACATTACAATTCATGTAAATTAAGTACTTGAGAACTAACAAAAGCTAAATCATCTTTCCTGACAATAATACTTTGTTATTACTTTAGTCTATTTGACTCCCGATTATCATTATGTTAATTATGCTTTCATTATAAACATCTTGCTTTAGTAGTCATGTATTTATTTATAGGGCGACTTATTTTATTGATTTATTGCTATACGATGCAGTTTAAAGCTTATACTATAGGAAGGCAAACTAGGGATATTAGTAAGGGAGCAATTTTCATAATACAGGTACTCCTCACTTACTGACTAGGCTCCGTTCTTACGACCCGGTCGTATAACAAATTGGTTGGTAGGTGAGTAGTTAAGGGATTCCCTGCTCTGGTGCGTTCGTCTATGTTCTGGGAAATTTCCCCGAACATACACGGATGCAGCAGAGCAAGGAATCCCTCTAATCCCCACAACGGCTCGCACTTACCCCCACGCTAGAGTGCTTGTCGTAAGTGTGAGCCGTCGTAAAACAGGTAGGTCGTAAAATGAGGACCACCTGTAATAGCTTTGTATCAAATCAAGCCAGCTGTCTTTGAATTTATTTGACAGTTTATCTCACAGTACTTACTTTTCTTTTGGCACAAGGTTTAACGCTTCAGTCATGAAGCTATGCTTTAGTAATAGGAGTTAACCTGCTTTCAATTTATGTAGGAGCCTTTATCATTAGCAGTCCTTTTGGACTATTTTATTAACCTCCTATGGGGCTGCTTACTGGAGTGTGGTTTGCCATCTAGTGGAAATTTGTAGCACATAGTGATTGAAGTAATTAAGGACTGCTGTGGACAAACAGGTATTAATATAATGTTGGTTTAAGAACTTCTTTCATAAATATGGGTGTAGGAATAATGTGTTATGGATTTAAATATAATAAATAAAAGGTATACTTTTATGTTACTGTTGCCCATATTTTAAGCGTTTTGATATCTTTCTATTTGCTTAACCTTTTGATATCACCATCGGGAAATACATTGGTTATCCTGGACCTTTTATGGATCCTTCATAAATACTGGAATAGTAGACTCATTTAGTAGATGGAAACAACTTTGGTGAAGAAGGGTGAAGATTATTGTATCTGAGAAAGGAGAATTAATTCAGTTATCCATGCAGGAAGAGACACAATGGTTTATCTACTGCATATCTTCTAACATAGTGAGCTAGGTTTACTTCTTTCTTCAGTATTGATATTGTAAACACCTAAGAAGAATTATGTGTGGTTATTATTCATAGTTTATATTTCTACTCCTTAGGGTAGGTAAATTAAAACTATACTATTTCAAACAGTTTTGGGATCTGGGAAATGAAGATCAATCCAAAATTCACAGCATTTGTACATAAAATAAAACAAAATCTATAATTGTATTTGAGCAAATAAGCCTGAAAAAGTAAAATCTTGCTTTTCGAAGAATACGGTTGTTACTATTCTTCTGTATTTGGAGCACTTTTTTGTCTTGGGTTGGTTTCCTGACACATTTATGAACATCTGGTCAATGTGACGTTATGTGTTGAGTGAACATCTGTTTGCTCTTTTCATCTGTGAAAATGTGATTATGAAAAATTAACCTTTTCTGTACTAATAGTCTTACAGTCAATTGCTCTTTTTATCATGTATTTAGATTTGCTGACATCAAAGAAGTACATTTTCAATATGCTGGAAATAGCTCTCAATTATTTTAAATTTACCCATGCTGATTTTGGCATTTCTGTATTATTATCAACGTTATATTATTTTAGTAAGTAAATAGGAAACAAAATACTCATATGGCTTTAATATTAAGACATTATTTTCATATATGACGTGATTTCTGAACTAGATTCATCGTCATTGTTTTATGGTCTCGTGTTATGCATACATTTTTTAAAGAAACACAAAAGATATAAATTATGCATTTTAAATGAGGTCTATTAAAATACACAGTGACTTATACTTCATATGGGATTAAAACCACTATATATGTAATAAACAATTAATTTAATAATCTTTAATTTCTATAATACAAGTTCATCAAGCACTGCTAATCTTTAAAAAGAACTTCACATTACATATTAATTTTTACAGTTAATGTAAAATGAATGGAGCTGAGTGATTGAGTTTCCATAGTATGTTTAAGAGGGGCAAATTTATTTAAAGTTATTACTATGTAAATATCTTCTTTGTAATATTACTATTAATGCCCTGAACCCCTTAAAGGTCAAATATCATACTTTGCCATTGCCACAGTCTGTTCAGTAAGATTTTATACAAAAAAGTTGCTTTTTTGGCAGCCCCATTCAGCCCTGCAGTTGTTGACTGAGTGGGACATCTTGGAACATGATCTTTAAAGAACATTTTGTGCCAATATAGACAATCATTATTATTATTATGATATTTATAGAGCGCCGTCAAATTCCGCAGCGCTTTACAATGGGTGGACGAACAGACATGTAGTTGTAACCAGACAAGTTGGACACACAGGAACAGAGGGGTTGAGGGCCCTGCTCAATGAGCTTACATGCTAGAGGGAGTGGGGTAAAATGACACAAAAAGGTAAGGATAGTATTAGACTAGTGACAGTTGCAGAAGAGGAATCAGTCAGGAGCTATTAACAGTTTAATTGATATGCTTTTATGAAGAAGTGAGTTTTTAACAATTTTTTGAAGGAGTGGAGGCTGGGTGAGCATCTAATGGAAGAGGGAAGATAGTTCCACAGGAACGGTGCAGCCCTCAAGAAATCTTGAAGGCGAGCATCAGAGGTGGGAGTACGGACAGAAGATAGACGTAAGTCTTCAGCAGATCGTAAGGGCCTAGACGGGACATAGTTGTGTATAAGGGAGGATAGATAGGTGGGAGCAGCATTATGTAGAGATCATCTACCCTTAAGGGGTAAAAGTTATGAACGAAGTAAATTTTTTTCTTCATGGCCATTTCCATAAAACAATGTTGTCAATACAATAGTAGCATATTCAATTTTTTTTAGAGGCGTTTTTAGTGTCATGGACAATTGCAGGTGACAGAAGTAATTTATAGTATCACTTTGTAGCTCTTAATTTTGTTTATATGTTCTGCCTTCATCCTCAAACTCAAGATGACATAGGTCCAAGAATCTATTGATAACTGGTAACATAGCTATATGGACACAGCAACACAATCAGACAATAAACCAGTCAGGGATTGACTGCAGACTTGATTGAGACTAGAAAGAATAAAATAATTTACTATAGATATATAAACTATAATGCACTTTTTCATGTTCAGACATTTAAGCATGCTATTTCTTAATTCCAGCATCAGACTGGCTTTGCAGCCAACTTCTGAGGATTTTCTCATTCCTTAGGAGGACAGCCATATTCAAAAGAAAATGTCTGGGTCATAGTTCATTTTGATCCTCATACATTCTCCCAGTTCTGTCAGTTTGAAAGCAATGGGATTTATTTTATCTTTTTCTCACCACAAACACCATAGCCAGTATTTTTAGTTTCTCTGTTCAACAAAGTATATATTTTTTTATTTGAAATGTATTTTTTACAATGTAGTCTGAAATTAACCAGCTGGACGTAACACTAATACACAACCCACTGCTAAGATACGGTGATATGTCTTCTATTTTCATGGTAGTGGTTCTGTTGGGAGTGAAACAAGAAATCACACTTCAAAGGAATGTCTGACACATGTTCTAAGTGATGATTGTGTATGCTCCAGACTGATTGAGACTGTAGATGAATGCAGCTTTCAGCAAACCGTTTTTTATTTCAAGCAGACATGGTAAAAATAGCTGGATGTGTTTGACTTTCTGGTTTATTGTCTGCTTTTGTCCTCTTACACAGATATCCATCCTTCTTATCCATAACTATTAAGTTTTGCTGAGAAACAGCCCAATCCCTTGGGACATGGGACAAAGAAGCACTTACTGCGAAACGTACTACCATCCAGTAAGTTCAGTAAATCCAGAGAGACATATAATATTTCTACCCATTATTTAGCTAGTCATTTTTGTTGATCCAAATTCCTGTACTTCCACGGACTTGCTCATCCTGTGCATTTAACAATGCCAACAATATTGGTATATTGTCTATCTAACCTACAAACACATTGCCTGCAGGCTTGGCTTCCTAGTATTCAGTTGTGTTCATATTATGGTATTTGGTTACTTTGTGGAGAACCTCAACTTTCTATTCATAAAACAATCCCAAGGAAGATTGAGGTGTAAAAGGAGAGGATGTTTGTTAGGATCAGAATAGACATTCATTAGAATTGTAAATTTGGATAACAAATAAATAAAAGCATAACTGTACCCTTAGTCTTAAGTAGAGACCTGTAAGCTAGTAGCAACCATATAAAATTAAGAACGTGTTTTTATTTTTTTTCTTGATGTATTGACCCAGGGACTGGGCACAGATTGGTACTATTCTTGAAAGTATAAAGGAACAGTTATTGTCAAGATCTGTACTTTCCTCTTTTATTATTGGAGGACAGTTTAGGACAAATATAGTATTTTTTCACATTGTAAACTTTAAGTTCAAAATAACACTTAATCTCTCTTACCTTTCTATCCATATTGTTTGTCTGACGCTTTCCCAGAGTCTGCCCAATTAAAAGAGTGAACAGCAATGCATCAATATATAGTGTATATGTCAAAGTATAGTGTATATAGTGATCCCAAAAAGTGGAAAACATACCAGAATTTTAAAATGTAATGTTTATTCTAAAGTCATTGTTAACAGTTTGGAAGTCATCATCACATGGGAGGCTATTGCGTATATACGGCAAAACACAGCGTGGCAGCAATCGGTATCTTCTCATAGAGATGCATTGAGTCAATGCATCTCTGTGGGGGACATTCAGCATCTCCATGTATTGCGTGCAGACCATGAATGCCAATGCTGCACACTGTGCAGCACTGGACTAGGAAGCACCTCAAGTGGCCATCTGAGTTTCTGCCAACAGAGGTGTTACTAGACAGCAGTGTAAATATTGCCTTCTCTCTGAAAAGGCAGTATTTGCATTGAAAAGCCTACAGAGAGGCTACAGACACCAGAACAGCTACTTAAATTGTAGTGGTTATGGTGACTATAATAATTCTTTAACCCCTTAAGGACACATGACATGTGTGACATGTCACGATTCCCTTTTATTCCAGAAGTTTAGTCCTTAAGGGGTTAATGACGTCAGTGAAGAAGTAGTAATCCCGTGAGAAAATGTTACTAACCCTCCTATATCCAATACATATTTGGAAGCTGTCAGTGTTCATAACTGCTTTCTATGGAACGCTAAGACTGGAGGTGTTATTTAAACAGGAACCTGAATATATTGTAACATAAATAGCCATAGTAGCCAAAAAAGGCCATACATATGCTTATATACATAAAAAAAGTCAAAAGTATCATATTTTATCACTTATATATTTAATCAATGTTTTTTACAAAGTAAAGTTCCCTTGGAGTTTATTCACAAAACAGGTGAAAACAAAGAGATTCGGATAAAATAATCTTGGAAAGTTCTGCAAATCATATTCTCATACTGGCTGTTTTTGTGTAGACTTCACACATGCTAACCATTAGTAGTCGGTGCTACATAGACCAAGGTTCATTGAATAAACCCCTAATGTTGTGAGTGTTTTCTCTAGTTTGGAATATACATTTTCATTATCATTGTCAGAAAAACACATGCTTTTTTTTAAACATTTGAACTGTATTGATACTTGTTACTTTTCTGTTTGTCTTCATTCAACTGAATCAATTCATAAAAAAAAAAATTTTCTCCCAAATCCAACAGGATAGACTTAAGCAATCGATTTTCCCCTCTAACAGAACAGGATACCCCAACCAAAAGGAAGAGACTAGTGGTATTGTGGAGAGAGGCACTGAGGCTAGTGGTGTTGTGGAGAGAGGCACTGAGGCTAGTGGTGTTGTGTAGAGAGGCACTGAGACTAGTGGTGTTGTGGAGACCGGCTTGGAGACTATGGTGAGGCCTAATAGAAAGCAGTTGTTGTTGGGGGATTCCATTATAAGAGGTGTGGAGATGGACAATGGTGGTCTTGTGAGGTGTCTTCCCGGAGCTACTGCTCACAGAGACAGGAGACGTATCTGTAATATTGTTAAGCAAGCAAAGCAGGAAGGGGAATTGGATGTACTTGTCCATCTATGGACAAATGACTTAGCTTACAATGAGGTTTCAGAGGTTAAGGAAGTTTTTAAGGTTTTTGCCAATGATATATGGCAGGTTGCTTCCACACTGTCATTCTCTGAAGTTCTGCCTGTGCATAACACTCAGAATGACAGGCGGATGCGTATTAGGGACTTTAATTTGTGGCTTGGTGAATGGTGTCGGGAGCAAGGATTTGGCTTTATTTCTCATGGTAGCTCTGTTTGGAATGGAGATAAGCTGTACAAAAAAGATGGTTTGCATCTTTCTCAAAAGGGAACAAATGTTCTCAGTGAGCAGTTCAGAGGTTTTGCTAGGATGTATTTAAACTAGGAGGGGGGGGCAAAAGGGTGATAAAACATCAATCCAATTGTCCCCCAAAACAAGGACAGAAGGTGCCTGTAGCAAGTGTGTTAAAAAATGATAAGCTTAGAGTCATGTCTACAAATGCTCGCAGTTTAGGGAATAAGATCCATGAACTTGTGGCAATAATGGCAACTGATAGTGTAGATTTAGTCGCTGTTACTGAGACATGGTACAATGAGAAAAATGACTGGGACATAGCAATACCAGGGTACTCTTTATATAGGAAAGATAGGGAAGGCAAGAAAGGGGGAGGGGTGGCCTTGTATGTGAAGGATAGCATAAAATAATAAAAATAAAAAGTTAATGAGGCGAACATAGAGTCCGTTTGGGCTACATTAGAATTTGGTAATCACACAGTAACTCGTGTATGTGTGATTTATAGGCCCCCAGGACAAATTGAAGAATTAGATAATCTACTAGTTGAGGAAATAGCTAAAATGACAATGAAGGGGGAAGTTATCATCATGGGTGACTTTAATTTCCCTGATGTAAATTGGAAAACAAAATTAGCTACTTGTGCCAGGAGCACACATATTCTAAACTCCCTACTGGGATTGTCTCTAAAACAAGTTGTTGAGGAGCCAACTCGTAAAGAGGCCATACTAGATTTAGTGTTAACAAATGGAGATTTGGTATCAGATATTACTGTAGGTGAAAGTTTAGGATCCAGTGATCATCAGTCAGTGTGGTTTAATATAAGAAAAGTGACTGAGTCACACCACACAAAAACAAAAGTTTTAGACTTTAGAAAAGCAGACTTTTCTAAAATTAGAATATGGGTAGAGGAGTCATTATCAGACTGGAGCAATTTATATGGAGTCCAAGAGAAATGGGATTATTTAAAAGTTGCACTATTGAAGGCAACAGAAAATTGCATTAGGCTTGTCAGTAAAAGCAAAAAATTCAAGAAACCACTGTGGTACTCCGCAGATGTGGCCAAAATAGTTAAAAACAAAAAGTTAGCATTTAGGAATTATAAAAAAACCCAGAGTGAGGAAGACAAAATGATCTATAAGAATAGGCAGAAAGAGGCTAAGCAAGTTATAAGAGCTTCCAAATCACACACAGAAGAGAAAATAGCACAGTCAGTAAAAAAGGGGGATAAAACATTTTTTAGATACATAAATGAGAAAAGAAAAGTAAAACAAGGATTAGTTAGATTAAAAACAAAAGAAGGAAGGTATGAAGAAGAGGATAAAGGTCTAGCTGACTGCCTCAATGAATATTTTTGTTCTGTATTTACAGATGAAAATGAAGGAAAGGGACCTCAGTTGAGAAAAAGGATAAATTAGTAATTTATTACACGTGAGTTTACAGAGGAAGAGGTTCTATTTCAACTGTCAAAAGTAAAGACAAATATGTCAATGGGACCTGATGGAATACACCCAAAGCTATTAAAAGAGCTTAGTGGTGTACTAGCAAAACCATTAACAGATTTATTTAACCAATCATTGTTAACAGGAGTAGTCCCAGAAGATTGGAAGTTAGCGAATGTTGTGCCCATTTACAAGAAAGGTAATAGGGAGGAGTCGGGCAACTATAGGCCAGTAAGCCTTACTTCAGTAGTGGGGAAAGTGATGGAAACCATGTTAAAGGATAGGATTGATGAACATCTAAAAACACATGGATTTCAAGATCAGAGACAACATGGGTTTACTTCAGGGAGATCATGCCAAACTAATCTTATTGATTTTTTTGATTGGGTAACTAAAATTATAGATCAGGGTGGTGCAGTAGACATTGCTTACCTAGATTTCAGTAAGGCTTTTGACACTGTTGCACATAGAAGGCTTATCAATAAACTGCAATCTTTAAGTTTGGATTCCAATATTGTTGAATGGGTAAGGCAGTGGCTGAGTGACAGGCAACAGAGGGTTGTAGTTAATGGAATATATTCGAAGCTTGGACTTGTCACCAGTGGGGTACCTCAGGGATCTGTACTTGGACCCATTCTCTTTAATATTTTTATTAGTGATATTGCAGAAGGTCTTGATGGTAAGGTATGTCTTTTTGCTGATGATACTAAGATATGTAACAGGGTTGATGTTCCAGGAGGGATAAGCCAAATGACAAATGATTTAGGTAAACTAGAAAAATGGTCAGAATTGTGGCAACTGACATTTAATGTTGATAAGTGCAAGATAATGCATCTTGGACGTAAAAACCCAAGGGCAGAGTACAGAATATTTGATAGAGTCCTAACCTCAACATATGAGGAAAGGGATTTAGGGGTAATTATTTCTGATGACTTCAAGGTAGGCAGACAATGTAATAGAGCAGCAGGAAATGCTAGCAGAATGCTTGGTTGTATAGGGAGAGGTATTAGCAGTAGAAAGAGGGAAGTGCTCATGCCATTGTACAGAACACTGGTGAGACCTCACTTGGAGTATTGTACACAGTACTGGAGACCGTATCTTCAAAAGGATATTGATACCTTAGAGAGGGTTCAGAGAAGGGCTACTAAACTGGTTCATGGATTGCGGGATAAAACTTACCAGGAAAGGTTAAAGGATCTTAACATGTATAGCTTGGAGGAAAGACGAGACAGGGGGGATATGATAGAAACATTTAAATACATAAAGGGAATCAACACAGTAAAGGAGGAGACTATATTTAAAAGAAGAAAAACTACCACAACAAGAGGACATAGTTTTAAATTAGAGGGACAAAGGTTTAAAAATAATATCAGGAAGTATTACTTTACTGAGAGGGTAGTGGATGCATGGAATAGCCTTCCAGCTGAAGTGGTAGAGGTTAACACAGTAAATGAGTTTAAGCATGCGTGGGATAGGCATAAGGCTATCCTAACTATAAGATAGGGCTAGGGACTAATAAAAGTATTTAGAAAATTGGGCAGACTAGATGGGCCGAATGGTTCTTATCTGCCGTTACATTCTATGTTTCTAAATCCAGAGAGGGCAACATAGAGATTATTCAACATAATATGGAGGAATCTATGGGAATATTTAATATCTCCAAGGTACCCCTTACTAAACAAGAATGCCTAATCCTTAAGAAAAGCCTTAAATATAGACCTAATGTTGCTCCAGACCCGTTTCAAGTCTACATAGACATGCAGAAATTTATTAGGAAGTTTAGCATAAAAATATTTTTCATCAAAAAAGAGTTAGAAGACCCATTGGGCCAAAATACTACGTTAAAAGTAGTACGTCAAATCCCCTCCAAAAAATTTAAGCCACAATCTACTTTTTGTCCATATGACAAGGGAAGCCAAACTGAAGTCTTTAACAAAATAGTGACACAAGACTTAGAGAAACTAACCAGTAAAAAAGAACATTGCAATAATATGACCAGATAGGAAATGCAAACCCTTAATCAACTGAAAAAAACAGAAGATATAGTTATAACAAAATTCAGATGAAGGGGGTGGCATAGTGGTCATGTCCTTGGACTGCTATTTGAGAGACGCATAAAGACTATTGGGGGACAGCACCACATATATTAAACTTACCCAAAACCCAAATGTACCTTTTAAGAATGAATTAAAGATTTTACTGGAAAAAGCTAAGGAAAATAATATAATTGACACTAATCACTATCAATTCCTTTTACAAGAACATCCCAGAATTCCAACCTTATATTTTCTTCCAAAGGTACACAAATCCAAAACAAACCCACCAGGTAGACCAATAATAAATGGGATTGACTCCCTCACATCTAAATTGTCTCAATTTATAGATCACTCACTGCAAAAATATGCACAATCTGCCAAATCATACCTGAAATACACTAAACATCTACTACAAGAGTTGGATTCCATTGAATGGCATAGAGACTACGTCTGGGTAACACTTGACGTAAGTTCTCTATACTCATAGATCAAAATCAGAGTTTATAAGCCATGAGGAACAACCTGGAGGGATATAAGACTTTGGATAAAAATTTTGGGTCTTTTTTGCTCGAGACCATTGGGTTCATATTAACGTACAACTTTTTCTTGTTCAATTATGAGTTTTTCCTACAAGTCAAGGGTATGGCAATGGGCACCAGGTTTGCCCCCAGTTATGCTAACATCTTTATGGATTATTGGGAACGGATGTTAATTTGGGACAATGATCCATTTGGGGCAAGCCTGGTACTCTGGCGTCGATATATCGACGATATCCTTGTAACTTGGAAAGGGTCTGATGAACAATTACATTATTTTTTTACATACCTTAATAATAATGTATTATCACTAGTGTTTACACCTGTTTTCATCCCAACATCCATAGATTTTCTGGACCTAACAATATTTGTAGAAGGTTCAAAAACTAGAACCAAAACAAAAGTGGACATCATCCTAGATGGCTTGCAGGGGTTCCTAAAAGCCAGTATACCAGACTAAGGCGAAACTGTTCTGATCAAAAACTATATGAAGAACAGGCAGAATGTTTGACAAAAATTTTTTTAGACAAAGGCTATAAGAAAGAAAATCTAAAAGTGGAGGTTCAAAAAAATAAATTAAATAGGAGACAATGGTAGAGGAGAACTCTTTATTGATAAGCCCAAACAGATGCCCACCCTAAAAAATCAATTTGATTTCTCGTTCAACACACAGTAAAATTCTAAGGCTTTCTCTATCAATTAAATCTTTAAAAAACATTGGTCTATATTACAACATGATGAATTCCTAGGACGACAACTGCCAAACATTCCAAAAATAATTTACAGGAAAAGGAGAAATCTTTCCACCCATCTTACACCCAATCTATTTCAACTTAAAAATTACATCACAACTAATAGCACAAGAAGGGGATTTTATACCTGTGGGAAATGCAAAGCTTGTAAATTTATACCTCCCCACACCCACACATTTTCTAGCACAAATACAGGAGAAAAATTTAAGATTCAGGGAGGGGTTACTTGCTCCTCCATTAATGTAGTGTATCTTCTGATGTGTGGTGCACAGTACGTGGGGAGGACAGGACAAAAGCCAAAGTGCATTTTTTGGAACATCTGAATAATATTAGAAAAGGGATTCAAAGTCATTCAGTTCCCACACATTGCAATAAATGTCCCAAAGTTTGTCTTGGCCAATTATCGAACAGGTCAACTTGGATGTAAGAGGGGGTGATATTGTCACAAAACTTAGACAGAGGGAGGGATTTTGAATACATAGACTTAAAACACTTCAACCACCATGGTTAAATGTGGATTTTGATTTAATCTGTTTTTTTTATGATTATTACTTTATAACTCCCCCCCCTTTTTTATTATCCCCTATTTTTAATTAATTGTTTAATTAATTTTGTATTAATATCTTAATCTAGTCTAGTGTATCCAAGGTCGCTCCCTTATTTTCATTCTTCACCCCTCAATTTTCACCATTTCTCTTTCATGCTGTATATTACATTATTATTTTTTATTAAGAATGATGCTTGATTTATTTTATTTTATTGTTCTAACAGCTTTATATAATTGCATTACATTGATATATGAACAATACTGTAATATCTATATATCACTAATGTATTACAATATGATTTTTGTTTTATGCCGCAGATCCATGTGAGGACTCATTTCCATTAGCTGTATTAAGACGAGGTGGAACACATATGCATTCCAGCTACAAACTACTTCCACATTGTCCGCCTGAATACGAATAAGAGAGAACATTTCCGGATCGGTGGAACGCATATGCATTCCAGCTACAAACTACTTCCACATTGTCCACCTGAATACGAATAAGAGAGAACACTTCTGGATCGGTGGAACGCATAAGGAAGAAAGAGAACAAGTGACTGAAGGAGAATTAATTGAAAGCTATTGATTGGACGAACGGATCCGAAAACCGTTGGGAAGGACCTTTAAAAACAGCTGTGAGCCCCACAAGATTTGAAGCACTTTACATGAATGCTATTACTACTCCTGAGGAAGTCTGATATATCAGACGGAATGTGTAGAGTTTGTTTTTAATTGTTTTTGTTATTTTATCTACCTGATTTTTCTGCCTACTACCTCTTTGAAGCCTGTTCCATTCCACGTTGATCGAACACACAGAATTGTATTGATGGGCCTTTTTATCTCTTTTACACTGTAAGTGCAATCATTAAAGCTGATATTTTTAATTTGTAAGCAGTGCTGTACTATATTGCTTTTTTATTTTTTACATGCATTATTCATTATCCGAAACATGAGGAATGTTTGAACATCTACATAATGGATGAGCCTGAAAAATTCTCCAATTTTGTGAGTGTAACATTGAAAAAAATGGGCTATTTGTGATTTGACAATATTTCCCTATGAGCCTCTCTTTTTTGTTTGTACGTTTAGGTATACTCTATTTTTCATTAAAACTGGCGTCTGCATCCAACCACGAAATGATCTGTAATACAGCAGTAAAGAACAAGCACCTAACACAGTTGTGACAGATTCATCTGCATTGTTGGTTCGTCTGTTTCCCTTTTTGGTCGCGGAATTGCCTGTTCCTATAACCCCGTTCGTGTAGTTGCAAAATACCGATTGAAACTACCGAACGAACGACCACCCAGGAGAGGAGTGTGCTGCTGGTTAACCTTCTGGCCCCCATTAGAACGTTGTGGTTAACCGCAGACACCTCTCCATTCCATTCGTACGGGTGGTCGTCGTTCGCATGTCGACCACGAGGCAGCGGCCATTTTGGGACATACGAACACCGAGCGGTGTTCGGTACAAACTGTATGGAACTAAAAACGGACACTTAAACCACCGAACACCGCTGAAAAGCTGCTGCCTACCTTCCTTTTCGACAAGGCATGCGAACGTCGGTCGTTCGGGAGTTTTATTCATTCATATGGACTTTCGCCCCGACAGCCATCCCATGGAGTCATTCGTATACCGAAGGACTGGTGCAGGACTTTGACTCCATGGCGATTCGACTGGATACATCGGATCTGAGCGCTATTCGGTGAAAACATGCCCTCAGATCCAGGCTGTCTGGGGATACGTTACACGAACCGTATGCATTCGGTATTTCTGTAGTTATGTATTTTAATGTCCTTTTGTTACTGTAACTTAAGATGGCGATGGTCTCTACCTTGGGAGATAATTAGGTTTCTTCCCCAATTATCCCCAAGGTAAAGAAGACGGAATTGTGGGCAAGATGGGAAGGGCTATTATTGAAGCCACTGCGATTGGCTACTGTCCAATATGTGTTACAGTCTTCCACAAGGTCCCCTCGGGGAGTGTCCACCTTGTGGAGACCTGCATAAATACCGGGCAGGTAGCCCCATTAAACAGATCTTCATTTGACCCTCAAGACGGAGCTTGGTCTCGTTTGTGGGGGGAATTATTATTGGGACAGCGTTTTCGTTATTTCTAGCTGTGGAAGGCGTTCGACTGTTTGGCTGATCGGGAGTTGCCGTGTTCGCGGACTTCGTTCGGGAGTTTGGCGATCGGCTGGATTTAAACTGCATTTCCGGAGAAGGGGATTATTGCCTAAACGGCGGCTTCATCTACCCGACGGTATGTGTCGTAACAACAGTCATCCCATTGGAATTTATCAATAGCCTAGCAAGGATCGAAAATCTAAAAATAAAGCAAGAAACCACAGAGGATGAAGACAAAATAACGTAGTTACTTTATATTGTCATATCTTACTCTAACTATATTCATATATAATATTATCATGTATGCGTAAAGTACATACCTGTTTACCCAGCAATGTACAGTGGAAAATATGGTCTGCACCTCTATTGGTGTAAATCTTTTTAAGGGATCCTCGCAGCCCCAACCAAAACTGAGTCATTAACTGAGTGCCAAGACAATGAGGGTCTTAAAGTGATCTGCATCTGATAGGGGCGCACAACCCTTGTCAACTGGACCACCAGGGAATGCTCTCCACCAGATCATCAGGGATTTCTGTGTGCTGTGTGTGTTCACTTGTTCCCTCCTGTCAAAAGGTAAGCAGAAGGGGGGACAAGTGAACACACACAGCACACACAAAATTCAGTTACCACATACACACACAAACATCCAGCAACCCCATGCAACACGCAGCTACTAAACACACATACACACACACACACGACACTTAGCTTTCCAAATTCATAGAACAGAGCCCAGTGCTCTAACAAAGGGACCCAAATTGCCATCCTGCCTAGTGCCCTAGAAAACTTAAACCAGTTCTATGTGTAGAGTCAAGCTCTGTACCAAGATCTAACACCCTACCATTTTTAGACTTCAACCACCATTGTCCCTCAATGATTCATAGAAACAATGGGCAGCAGATTGTAATTTGAGAGGTGTGCACAGTTACAGCTGATAAACGGACACATTTTCCATTCCTGCTCCAAAAACAAAAACAAAAACACAGAGAATTGGGGACATAGGCAACAGGAGAGGAAATCCTTTTGCCTAGGTCCCAATAGTACCTGGGGTCTAAGCCCAAAGCAAAACTGAATGCACTGGAGCCCATAAAACCTTTCTTGATTCCACTTCTAAAAAAACTCTAAAAGGCAACAGACACAGCGGAAGAAATGTGATGGAAAATGAATTGTTTTACCTATACAATGCTTAGTTAATATTCCCTTAGACATACAGAGCGATATAAAAATATATATTAACCTGTGGATGTATTGTATAATGAGACGTGAATTTAATAACATTTATTATCCTGTAACTCAGAGCTGGCAGATATCTGGACAGGCCTTCCTTGATGGCTTTGAGTGGTGTGAGATGGCAAGGGAATAGAGGTGAAGATCTAATTAAAGTCCCACGGGTATAACTAGTATACCTGGATATACCTTGTCTAATACTCTCACCTGCAGCACCAGAACAGGGGACTTGTCATAGATAGAAGTAAATAAAGGGTTAAAAGCCTTTGTTAAGTCTTTCCACATCTGCAGGGGTTAAAAGTAAGAATCTTTCTCTCCTAGCTCCTGTCTGCAATCTGTTGCAGTTTCACAACTCCCTTTTCTTACCCATGAAAGAACCTTGCATAGTTTAGATAAGACGTGCTATACATGCGCAGTAGATTAACCAACAGCAATACGTAATGTTATATGAATGATTATACTTTTTGCACTGAAACTTCTTTGATTGGTTGATTTTGCCTTTTGTTGGATACACCCCTAAGAAAACTGTTTTATATATATGATGTACACGCATTAATATTTTCTAATACTTTTTGAACTCCATACTGACTGGCGTGCATTGAGTGTTCCCTGCAGTACAATTTTACACAGAGATAAAGGAAAGCAGAATGTGTTAGTGCACATCTCCATGGCAGCAAAAGGGTTCCAGACTCTGTGTAGAATTTTGAAGCCTAACGAAATTATAGGGGGAGAAAAAGCAGGAAAGGGGGAAATGAGCGGAGAGAGAGCAGTTGGAAAAGGAAACATTGCAAGCAGTGGAGAGGAAGAAATATCAAAATCATGATATAATCAAGAACATAGGCAAAGAAATATGGGGTAAGTAATAAAAGGGCAATAAGCAATCATACTAAAAGGTATTACAGCAAATAACTGTCTGGCAATCAAAATAGACTAACAGTAAAAGTCACGTCACAAGTTTTGCTAAAAATAATTTGAGCATTTCTCAGATCAACACACAGGTGTAGTCTAGACCATTGCTGTAATGCTCATAATTTGTGCTGATCACAAAAACATGACAAATGTATACATTCCTAATACAGACTTGTGCCAAAAATGTACTGGATCCATTTTCGTCACATTATACTTTATATATTGTAAACATTTAAAAAATCTTTACATATTTATTTTTCTTTCTGCTGCTTTTGTGCACAGTTTGCTCTGTTTTACGTGTTTTCTTTGGTTAGTTGAATGTGAAAAACTGACCCATTTCCACTAAAAGATAGCTGTGTCAGCAAATGTGTGTTTTGTGCGATTGTTTTGTGGATTGAGTGCGAAATTATTTGTTAATTTGCTAAAGTGAAAATCATTGTGAATTCAAAGTAGATTTCTAATTAGAAGCCAAAAAAAGATGAACTGGAAAAATTATTCGAGAAAACAATGCCTCCATTTCAGCTACTTTGGCCTTAAGTTTAATAATTACATTGAATTCACACTGAATTCACAGCAATTCTCCCTTTCGAAAATAACCCTCTCATTATAAAGTCAAGATTTTACAATTCAGGCATTGAACTGACCTGACTTTGGATGAAAAGTTGGATGCTTTAAAAAAAAAAAAAATTGAAATAAAGATCCGAACTATTTGCCTGCTAGCAGCACTAGCAGTCAGCCGGCAGATAGTTAAAGGGTCACCCTGGAACCCTAAACAACTTTAGCTTGCTAAAAAAGCTTTATGTGTGAAGAGTGTGTCCTATTTATTTAAATTTGCAAAAAGTGCAGATTTCTATAGAAATTGAAACTTGTATATATTAACCTGGTTACACCTCCTTGGCTTTCAAGCAGACATCAGGTAATGTTACTTCCTGGTTTTTTTTAGCTCAATGTAGCTGACCTCAAGAGGCAACAATTGTTCAGAGCATGTGACTTACAAAGACATCTCATTGAGCTGCATTGGGAAGTCTGTGATTGGACAGCCACAGAAAGTCTGGGCAGATTTAGAAGGGGAGAGCTTGCAAAGGTAGCAGAAAAGAGAACTGCAGGTTTTGCAAGCTGATTTTAGATATATCCCCAATGAAAAAAATACATAATTAAATTCATGGAAATTTTCATTTGGGTATATCTACTAAAAAGTGATTTTTATTTAGCTTGTATTTAGGCAGTGGAGTGTCCCTTTAAATAACCCCCAGCAATGCGAGAACTAATAATGTGGCGGCTGTCCAGTGCTTGCTAGCCATTTGCCACATTAATTAGTTAAAAATAAATAAATAAAGGGAAGCAATAAAAACCTTTATGATGGGGTGGGGCCTGTATAATAAGGTTAGGGGCTATGTCCTGTAAGCATCGGATGGCAGCATATTATATAAGCAATGGGTGGTGGACAAATCACAATAACATATATGAGGTGGACTTCCTTAACCCCAATTCCCACCTGTTGGCAGTGGATGGGTACTCTTATTATAATTACTAGAGGTGAGAACCTAATGTCAACCCCCGGCTCTCACTCATTGATTGTGGGTTGGGCCCTAATTATAATAATCAGAGTAAGGACCTAGTGTCTCTTCCAAGCCCATAAAAAAAGAAATGTGATGCAATAAACATAGAAACATAGAATGTGACGGCAGATAAGAACCATTCGGCCCATCTAGTCTGCCCAATACTAGATCATCCATGTTCATTTTGCAAGGGCCAATTTCTGACACATC